TTTTGTCAGGTTCGAGTCTGGTTCAAGCTCGAACCGAACCAGACTCGAACTGAACCAGACTTTTTTTCAGAACCCTATCTGAAGGTAATGACTATAAAGAGATTTAATTGTAATTTATTTTTATATTATTAATATATACTTATATTTTTGAATAAAAATTATAAATTATAATTATAAATAAAATTATAAAATATAATTAAAACTATAAATTATATATAATAATTAATATTAATAATAAATATTTATCGAGTTATATAATAATTATAATAAATATTTATTAATATAAAAATAAAAATATTTTATTATAATATATATTTATATAATAATAAATATTTATAAATATAAAAATAAAAATATTTTAATAAAATTTAAATTTCTAATAAAAATATAAAAAATAATTTTAAGTAAAGTTATAGTTCTAATTTCTAATTACAAATTTATTTATAATATAGAATATCTAATTATATTATTATTATATTATAGTATTAAAATTCTATCTATAAATATTATATCATATTTTTGAAAAAATATATTACTTAACTAGCAAAATAATTAATTATATAATATTAATTTGAATTTGAATTTGAAATCAAATTTTAAACCAAAGATAATTCTTAAAGAAATTATTAAGAACAAAGATTATAAAATAATTTTTTATTTAAAATTTTATTATAAATTAAATTATATTAAAAATTTTTGAAATTAAACAAAAAATATATATATTAATATTATAATTTTAATTTTAAAGTATTAAAAAAGACAATTTTAATTACTCTTAATTTAGTTTTTTATTTTAAATTTAAAAATATATATATTAAACTTGGTAATATATATAAATATTTAAAAGTTATTTTTATTAGTAAAATAAATAATATTTGCTATTCAAAAATATTATTTTTATTAAAGAATTTCTAAAAATATTTTTATATATTATAATAATTTTAAAAATTTAGTATTAAATTTTTATTAATAATCATATAAATATTATATAATATTATAATCTTTAAAATTTAAAGTTATTAAATATTTATATTTTATAAAATATATAAATAAATTTCTTATTAAAAAATAAATACAAAATTTAATTTATAAATATAATAGAATAAATCTTTTTTGAGTATATTTACAAATTAAATTTTGTATTTATTTTTTAGTAAAGAAGTTTATATATTTTATAAAATACAAATATTTGATAAATTTAGATTTTAATATTATAATAAATTTTAAATTAAAATAATTTTGTAAAAAATAACTTTTTTAAAAAATGAAAAATTTTAAAAAATATAAATAATATAATTTTAGTTATTATTGTTTAAAAATTTGTTATTTTTTAGAATATAATTAAATGTTCTATATTATATACTAAAAAAAATTTTAAATTTAAAAAATAAAAATTTGAATATTTGAATCAAAAAATATTTTTGCTAATATAAAAGCCAAAAATTTACTTTGTATTATCTAATTTTAAATTTTTGTAAATAATAAATATTTTATATACTAGTTTAATATTATTTATAAAATTCATTTTTAAATAATAATATTTGTTATTTTTACAAATTATATTCTTTTACTAATATATTATTTTCAAATTTTATTGGTATTTGCAATAATATATAATAATTAACAAAATTATAGAATTATATATGTAATTTTATTAATAAAAATTAAAATTTTTGTCTTTTATAAAAGTTTTAATAAATATTTTTTTAACATATATTTTTCTGAATTTTTAGATTTTATCTAACAAAATTATTTTAATTACAAAGTTGTTGCAAAAATTTTTTATAATTAATTTTATATTTTAATTATAAAATTTTTTGCAATAACTTTGTAATTAGAATAACTTTGTCAAATAAAATTTAAAAAATCAAGAAAAAATATATGTTAAAAAAATATTTATTAAAACTTTTATATAAGACAAAAATTTCAATTTTATTATGTTTTATTAATAAAATCACACGTATAATTTCATAATTTTGTTAGCCGTTAAATAATATAAAATCAGTAAAAAAATCAAATTACTTAATAATATAATTTCTGTTTTATTAACTCCATCCAATATAATAACTAAATAATTTTTTACAGGTTCAATTATAATTTTCCAAAAATCTAAAAGACAAAATGCTATTGAATTCAAATTATTTATATAATAATTAAGTTTCAGATCATACTGTTTGTGCTGAGTTCTATAAAATCTTTGCCAGTTACAAAATAAAAAAATTTCAATTGCATAAGTCAATAAATGACACTATACTTTGCGGTTCAATAATATGTATGTTAAACAATTATATTTTCATATCCTTTAATCTAGTTTTCCTGAATTTGACACCAGATTTAGAGCATTTTGTGGGAAATTCAACCTTCTTGCAAGAGGTCACGAATCAGCACTCTGTCAGCAGCTTCTTTACCATGCAACATAAATATATTACGTCAGCAAGAAATGAGTGACCGTAATGGATATGAATATAATAGAAAATGCATAAACGAAAAAAAATTGACCTTGATAGTATCAGTCATCTTCTCCATAAGATTAGTAATGAGATTCTGCTCTTTTTTTCCGTGTTGATGTCGTCCAGGCAGCATTGTCAATTCGGCCATTTCAGGCGCGACACTTTCGATCTCTTTACTACTTGATCCATTTTTTGAGGTTTTGTGGTGGTTTTTTTGTTCTTGTTGTTTTAATGTAGTAGCTAAAAAATGATTTTCGACATTCATTACCTTGAAAATAGAAAAATAGACACTAGAATAAAAGTAGCTAACCAGTTTTTGCGAGAGCTCCCACATTCCCTACTGCAGAAGAGCCTTTGTCTGTCAATACTGCTTTAAATTCGTCATTATTATTTTTTTTATTAGTATTTTTATTGTTGTCAGTCATTCTTTAATTTCTTTAATTGATTTGAAATGGAAAAACAAAGAAATCAACTTGAACAAAATAATATTTTTATGTCGTAAAAGAATTATATATCAAAAAACGATGCGATAATGTCGTAATCATCATATGAATCATTAGAAAGTTCCTAATAATTAAACGGGTAGCGTATGTTTTTTATATTTATATTTCTTTTCCCGATAATTAGAGTTGGATCGGACCAGTTCATATAACGGTCTTATGAATAAGTACAAAGACCGGGTCCAGACCGGTCAAATAATCCAAACTCACTCGCTAAAAAAATAATCAGGCAGGCCGGGGGCGGCGTCAGCTCAAAGACGAAGCCAGACGGCCGCCCATATGACCCCTTAAAAATTATGTGCGCAAAATCTCTTGATGACGATTCTGCACGATCGTAATTGATCGTGTAGCATTTAACAGAAAATGTTTGCCACGCACCCTTTTTAAAGAAAAAATTTGTATTTTGTTTACCCGATCTTCTAAATACTTGTAGCATTAATATATTAAATTGTGGGATATTTTTTTGTGTGATATTCCTGATCCATATTGGTGATTAACGAATTCTCTACTAAGCAAATGACGATTGACAATAACGAAGTCTCTGACTATTCATTTATTATTATCCAATGGCTGAAAATACTACGCAAATGACTAGGGAAATGACAATAAGCTGTCCGAATAATATTATTGGGTCATTAGTAGACATCCTGCATAAAAATGATTGGTCTGTTGGTCCACCTTAAGATTTCAAATTTTAACTTTTTCTTCATTATCCTTTCTCTTCATTGTACGTACTACAGATATCTTTTCACAGATTACACCAAATAAAAAAGGACTCCGAAGTAATGGTTAGGCTATTTCTAATTATTTTTGCTATCAATTTTCCTTGTTCATGTAACCACTGTTAGATTCGCCTACAACATGGCATGGTCGTGGAGTCGTATATCGTTGGGAATTGCGTTGCAAATTTTTCGTATTTCCAGCGTCTCCGTCATGAACGCATAAACCACGAAACATGTGTGATGCTATATAATGTTCTTGAGTGCGATTAAGGGGCTGATTCAAGCTCGGGACCTCGTTATTAATTGAAACCGCGTATGTGCACCAGTAGACCTTCGTGGCTCATCTGAACATTCAACGTCATCATCATCCCCAAGTTCAACGATGGGAGATACCACTCTCTAAATCTCGTGTGCTCCCATCACATTGTGTACCGTATCCGCCGGGAATTTGGAACCAAGTGTGTTGTGTTAGACTTACGTGAACAGATCGATAGGAAAAAAGGTTTTGGGTGGAATAGGAGTTACGGTCTGTCTAGAGATGTAATTATTAGGAGTGCAAACATTTCTCAGGTCAAGTGTACGTCATATTGATACCTGGGTAGCTATGTTTCTATGACTCAAGTTATTTCATTTTCTAATGTCTGCACTTATTGAGCACGTGTCAGTCACCTGAGCAGCTTACTTATACCAATAAGACCAATAAGCGTGCGAAAAAGCAAAAAGCTTATTCTAACAATGCAAGATGACGTTATTACATAACCGAGAAAATATGATGATTGTTGATTGTTGTTTGTGTTGTCTTCTATATACGATATGAATATATGTAATGTTGTGATGTTTAAAATATCTTGAACACAAAAAACAAAAATTACTATTTGGAAAACGAGACGAAATGTAATGAAATGCGTCAATTTACCACGTAAACTTTAATACACACAAATTGGACATATCTTATTAATCAGTCAATATCATTAACTGCAAAAGGTAATTGGTAAAATTCAATCGTCCGTGTTCCAAATGAAAAGCGCACCAATATTAAACTATTAAACTATATGATTGCAATAGACGATTGGTGCCACGATTGGCTACAATGTGTCACGCTGAGTGAATATGTTGGCTCGTTCCATTGTGAATTTTTTTAATCACTTATTATCACATTCAATTGTTCATCTCTACTTTTCTGTGCTTTATTTTAGTTTTCTCCATCAACGTATGGCAATTTCGTGAAAAAAATGTCCAGATTACCAAAGTTACCAGTTCCGAGTAGTTTACCTACTTCTGGTCTTTCTCCCCCCAAAAAAAGAACTTCCCCTAATGGTTCGTCGCTGTTACCTACTGTTGATACTACTAATAGTACAACTACTAAAATTGCCGGTCTCAAAGACCTTACTCCTGAACAGGAAGCTTTGCTACAAGAAGCAATGGAAAAGTTTAATCCGGAAGCAATGACAACCACTTCTACTTCTTCGCCCTCCTCTACGACAGTATCTACACTCCCTACTACACCAACACCAACAATAACAACCACCGCTTCAAATGGAGTAAATGGCCCTCCAAACTCCAATCAATTACGTAAACCTGGTGCCAGAAAGCAAAGCATGTCTAGAGTTACTCGCCCTGTCCTGCCGTCTGTTTCTGACATGCCCCCTTTGCCAACAATTTCACAAGTGGCTAATAAATCAAATACAAATCAAGGATCACGAAAATTATCCTTTGGTCAACATTCTTCTCCTTCGATAGGATTGCTCCCTCCTGGCTCATCTTTACAAATGCGTCCACCAACAACAGCACAATCTTCATTAACACAACCTTCTTCATTAACACAACCTTCTTCATTGACACAACCTTCTTCATTGACACAACCTTCATCTTTACTACAAACTTCACCATTAAAAAATAATCGTTTAAAGGCCATTGCAGCAGCTCCGCCACGACCTGCTTCTCCTTCAATGGCATTGTATAGTGTAGGGGAACGTGTTTCTGTAGAGTCAATGAACATCACTGGAACTTTAAAGTTCTTGGGTTCAATTGATGGAAAATTAGGAACATGGGCTGGAATAGAATTGGATGTTCCAGGCACAGGCAAAAATGACGGAAGCGCTAATGGGTGAGTATTCTAACATTGAATCCGTAAATCATATTTTTTATAATTGATAATAACTAACCTGTATGTTGTTATTAGTGTCTCGTATTTCACATGTCCACCGAAAACCGGTATATTTGTTCTTGCTACTAAACTCTCCAAATCGAAGAAAGATTTAGAAACCCCAACCACAACAACAACTATAACATCGTTACCGTCATCTTCACTCAATTCCAAAATCACATCTAAAAATGCACAACATGCCGCAATGGCTGCTGCTCGTATAACAGCAGGATCACGAGCATCCAAATATATTGGTGTCACGGCTTCACAATTAAAACAGAAATCCTTAATAAAACCAGGTGGCTTCACCCAAGTAATTCCAAGTCCTAGTCCAGATCCAAATAATCGCGGTCCTTCTCCACCCTCTAGATTAAAATATGGACTCGTTCGTCCTAACGCTAGTAGTCTTAAATCGCCTTTAACCTCACCAGTTATTACTAGACGAACGCGAAGACGAGATTCCAATTCTTCGAATGGATCTGCGGCTTCGGCTGTATCTCAATCTGCGCTTCAGGTTTCATCATTTGGGTTCCAGCGATCACCAAGAGCTACGACTCCGAATGAACAGCAGGAATTGCAAACACCATCGTCAGACAGTGAAACAACTCTGACAAACGTCGAATTAACAAATAAATCCCTGCAAGAAAAGATTGAGAAACTATTTTCGAATGATTCAGATGCATCCGATGCACCTCCAATGAATGTGTTTGATCAACAAATGCTTCGTATTCAACAACTAGAAATGAAAATTGAAGTCTTAGAATCAGAAAATAGTGCATTAAAGCTCAACAATAAAAACTTGGCTTCGCCGACTCATTCTTCTGATGGATCGAATGCTGTATGGATAGCGGAAAAAAATGCATTAAACGACCGAATCAATCAGCTAACTAAGCAGATTGAAGATAATTCAAAAGGTCATCATCATCGTCCAAGCACTTCACTCTCAATGCTAGCTGATGAGGATTTAATGAATGATAAGATTCTGCAGTTAACTGAATTAATTGAAGCTAAAGAGGCAGCTGTGAAATCCCTTGAACAATCTTTCAACAAGGCAAATCTACAATCAGAAACATACCAATCTAGGATAACAGAATTGGAACAAGCAAACAAAGAACAAGAAGCCAAGATTCAAAAATTAAATAATAATGATAATAATAATCAAGGTAAAGTCGAGAATACAGCTCTCGAGGCTTCTTCAAAAAGAATTGCCGAATTAGAAAAAGGTATTGAGGCAAAAGCTCTTGAAATCAGTCAGCTTGTGATGAAACTCGATCAAACACAGCTCGATTCAGAATCAAAAATCAAATCGTTACAAGCATCGGTGGATCAATTCAAAGCGGCTGGACAAGAGACTATAAATATATACGAAGAGAAAGTTTCTGCCTTGTCGCAACAAGTCGAAGATTTGAAAAAGACAAATAGTGAGACAAAAGCTCTTTATAATGAGACCACAACAAACTTGGAGGAACGAGAAAATAAAATCACCACCTTAGAAAAGGAAACCGATGAACTTCGATCGGCTGGTGTTGAGGCAATTGACGTGTATGAAAAGACGATTGAAGATCTAAAGAAAGAGATGGAAGAAGTGAAGCAACAAGTATCCCGAAAAGATGATGCATTGACAGCGTCTCGTAAGGAGCTTGAAAGTTTGAGATCGGCACAAAAAGAATTGAATGAAGCCAAGACGAAAATAGAGCAAAAAGATAAACGGGAGGAAGGTCTTCGAAATGAATTGGCAGATCTCCAGACTGGATTGGAGCATATGATGCGCGCTGACGCAAAATCACGAGAAAAAATATATCAATTGGAAGACGATATGCGCGAATCTCAAGCTACTGTCAATAGACAATTAGAAGAAATTGGCGCCTTGAAAGTAAGCATACAGGAATTAATGAACGCTAATTCCACCGATGAAGTTGATAAAGTGAAAACAATGTACGAGATGGAGATCAAAAGAATACAAGAAGAATTGGAAGACTCGCGGAAATCTTTGTCTGATGTCCAAACGGATAAACGAATCGCAGTGGGAGAAGCAGAAGGATTAAAAGATCAAAAAACGTTGTTAGAAAAGAAAATACAGGATAGCGAACAAAAAAGAAAAGAATTGGAGGAGGAATTAAATAACCTGCAAAATCTCCTCAAAGACAAAGATAATGAAAATGATAAACTATTAAAAGAATCAGAAGAATCAAAACTCAACATAAAAGAACTTGAGGAAACCAATAATAACGCGATTCTTCGAGTAGGAGATGAAAGAGAAAAACTGAAAAAAGAATTGAAAGATTTACACGCACAGATTCGCGAGCGTGAGGAAGCCAATAAAATAGCGATGCGTCAGGCTGATCAAGTAAAAGAAGAGTTGACTAAAGAGCTAAGAGCCATCAAATTTCAAATTAACGAGCTTGAGGCTTCTAATAAAGAAGGAACCCAACAATTTGAGATTGAAAAAGCAGCTTTGATTGAAGCTCGTAATGTCGCTTTGAAGGATCTTGAAGAAATCAAGGAAAAACTGCAAGAATTGTCAGTCAAAGCCAGCCAATCACAAGAGCTCAAGGCATCACTTGAAAGCAAATCTGATGAATTTAATAAATTGTCAGAGACTTTTGAAGCATTGAGAATTGAAAATAGTGGACTAAAGACAATGGTAGAAATTGAAAATAAGAATTTCGAGAATGAATTGCATGGTTTCCGATCGGAAAATGAACTATTAAAACAGAAAATAAAAGAACTAACAATCAATTCGAAATCATCAGATTCAACTCCAACCACAAAATCTCAAGAGATTGCCGCATACGAAGAACAAGTAGCCGCGCTCAAACAAATTGTGCACGAATTGACTCGTGAGAATATTGAAATTGATCGTGAAAATAAAAAAATGTTGGCTGAACATGAAAAACTCGCGGAAGCTCATAAACAAGTGGAGAATGAATGTTTTAAATTGATGGATGAGTTGGAAAGATTACATAGTGAATCATTGAGTGGTCAAGGCATTTTGGCTTCGCCTGCAGTGGTCACTGCTGAATTGCCTTCCAATCCAGAGACACCACGTGATGACCCTTCCGAAGAAAATTCGGTTGAAGATGGAGGTGACACTACACCCACTTCGCCCCAAACCGCTACCAATACAAATACTCCAAATATAACACGTCTAGAATCTCTACTTGCTGAAAAACAAACGCAATTAGATCGATTAACTTCACTTCATAATTCCGAAATTCGTGAATTACGTCAAAAATTAGCTGAACTCGAAAAATCTAAACAACGTGAACTCACCACACTAACAAAAGATGTAGCTGAATTGGAATCTTTGGTAGAAAGTAAAATATTCCGTGAAGCTGATTTAGAAGAAGAAATTCAGCGTGAACGTCTTGCATCTAAACGATTACAAGACGAAATAGAAGATTTAAAAGAACAAATAAAAGAAATAAGAGCATTAGGAGATGATGAAATTTCTCTCAATTTGGGTGCATCTGTAAGTAGTAACGGTAATTCGCCAAACGGCATAGTATCTCGAGTAAATGGAGATATTTCAGAAAATGCATCATCCCAACCCTTTTGCGAAATTTGTGAGGAAGAAGGACACGACCTTATTAATTGTAAAGCAGTATTCGGAACGGAAGCCAGTTCTCTCGGTAATGGTGTTACTCCCATACCAATAGTGGCGAGCAATGGAAATAGTGAAGTGGAAAGACCGGTAAGCTAAATTATTTCTATTACATTCTTTTGATCGATCATAACGTTTTACTATACTGTTATCTTCTTCCGACGGAACATTTCTATTTCTATTTATGACTATCCATCTATTTTTATTTTGTTGTTACCGTTCGTATACAACAGTATAATTTCTTTTAGTTGGATCATCAGTTTTAATGACATCTTCTCTGTTTTTCTCGCAACACCCAAAAAATACACATACACACACGATAGTACTGCGAAAACTGTGAAGTATATGAACATCATTGGACTGATGATTGTCCAAATCAAAACGAAACCTTTTAATATTTTATTCATTCTTTTATCAAAAGTCAGGTATCATTGATAGTAAAACAATCATTTCTTTTTTTTTGAAATGTCATTTGTTTTTGATATTTATTTTTTTAACATACATTTACATATAATAATCACATATTGTTTAATTGATTAATGTCCTTTTTCGGTTATTTTGATTCCCCAAAGACATTTCATTTCAATTTCTTTGTTCAGCATTTTTGGCATATTAACAACTCCGCGCATCAATAATGACATACTCTTAAAATATGTAAATTTTTCTTAAATTATTAGTACCAGTTTTTTTTAATCTCTTCATAGATTTATTATTATATATTTATTATATATTAATAATTGTACAGGATGTTTGATTTGATTTAATGTAATAAAAAGAGTGTAATATTTATAAAAACTCTTGCTTAAATTATCATTAATTAATATCAATTTTCTATGATGACACCAAAACTGTTTTCTAGGGCTAAAAAGTTTATATATAGATCCATTATTAGGATTAGTGATCATTCATTCTTTAAGTCGATCTGCAAGATCCGTGATACATACGGTATCAACCCAAGCCCCCAAGAGATCTGCCATTCCTGTTGTTTTCCTTGTTTCCCCAATAATACAACTCTTACATACTGATTATAGACCATCCACCAATAACTACCCGACGCAGTTAATATATGCCACCAACCGTGCAATTCCAAAAAATGAGCCAGCGGTTTCCCTATCCGCATCCTAGCCCTGCGTAGCTGTGAGCAAGCGATATTATCCACATTCCATAGCAGAAAACCGGTTCCGAATAACACTGCTGCACCAAATAACAAAAACTTTAATTGATTACGCGTGCGCACGTTCTCTACTTGTTGCAGTAGGTAGACGGAGCGAATGTGCAGTGCCGAGACAAGAAAAGCATAGGCGACTTGATGGAATACTGGTTCTTGATTGTATAAGTAGAGTACGGTGACTGTTGCGGCGTATGTGAATAGTGTGAATGGAATTAGGGTTCCATATTTCGGTTTTTCATATATCTCATAACTATAATATTAAAAATGTGTGTTTATTTTACGTGAACAATTTCCAATCCAGCATAAGGATACTTACATATTATATAATAATACAGAAGTGGCGTAGAGCACTGAAAAAGAGATGAGACGAAGCAAGAGGATAATTGAGATGCTTTGAATATTTAAGGATAATTTGCGATGCAAAGAAGACTTACTTGGAAGTTCATCAAGTAATTGAAATTCAAACCATAATGTCATATGAAAAAACCAAGAGCCTATCCCAATCGAGCATAATGCGAGATGTGCCACTATGTATCGTTTGCCAAGATTGTATTTCACAGTTGTGTAAATTCCAAAAAGTGAGAGGAGGACTGTTTATTCATTATGCGTAATAATAGTAATAATTAGTAAAAAGGTTTTTTCATTGATAAAACGATGAATAACTTGCCAAAGATTATATTGGTTGTGCTATTTATGAATTCGGCAAAATATTCGTGTGTTTTATAATTTTCCTAAAGAATAAAAATTAAGGTGTGTTCCTGTGAGACTTTTTTCTTTGAAAAAAAAAAACTACGATGCAGACTTCTTACAAAGAATTAGACTTAAAAATTAAGCGCTGTTTTTTACTCACTTCACACCAATCTAGCGTCGAAGTTCTGTAGGAAGTAGTATTTAGTGAGAAAATAAAGCTATAAAATCATGAAAAAACCAAATCTTTACCCTTGACCCCAGTAAGGAGCCTTAATTGTGGCATTGCCTTCAGCATTAGTTGTTTCCGCCATAGTAAGAAAAGAGAATAATCTAAAATCATAACTTTCCCACGTTTATATAATTTACTATTCCTTAAAATAGAAAATCACAAGGATTTTTTCTTGATCAAAAATTGCACAAAGGGGTAATTTTTTCATAGAATGACTATGCTAATTTTGGTGACTTGGACATGCCTTTGGACATTTTTGACAAAAAAAAATCAAATTTACTCAAAATTTTATTAAAATAACTTGTTTGGACACTCTAATTAAAAATGTTTAGAATTTCTCGTTTTATATAATCATATATTTTTTATTTAACGTTAATTTTTTTTAATAATACAAGAGTTTGGACACTTGTACATTTGGACAGTCGATGTTCAACACTGCCCCCACGTACGCAGCATTTTCAAGAAATTGAATATACATGTATTTGCTATTGCATAGAGTTAACCAAAAAAGGTTATTTATATCTAGCGCTAGGTTGAGAGACAACAATACATAGGGTAGAAAATATAGCTGCACGAAAAATTCTGTGTATGTTCAAATTTTGCCCCCTACGGGAAGACTTAAATTGTCAGTAAAGAAGGAAGTTGGTGAGGGGGGTTAGATTCGGTCTTCGAAACCCGACCCCTGAAATCATGCACACACATTTCTCAGTGAGGTACCAGATTCTGACCCGGAAGCCTGAATCTTGTAGTTAGAACATAATGCGATTTTTTCTCTAACCTTGGACAATCTTTAACGTTAACGTTAGTTAACATTTCGTTAGTTAGATCACGAAAACATTGTAACTATATAAAAATATTCAATTAATAACCAATCTTTGAGCTTACTGGCTATTCCACTTTTATAAATACAATGAAATCCGAGTAATCGATTAACGTTAATTCCAATTTATTCTGTCTAACACTAGAAAAAAGTTTGAGTTTAGTGTAGATTATAGTTATGACAGATGAATGACGTGTTTTGCTTGTGTAATAAGACATATAGAAAATTTCGAGTATCCCAGAACTACTTTAAGGATATTATTTCCATATTTTTATTTAACAACAGCTATACAATGAGCGATCTTATTCCATATTTATTTTGGGAAAAGGTAATAACAACGCGCCTTCATTAGAAATATTCAAAAAAAGTTTATAATATTTTCTTTTGAACATAGCAAGAAGGTCAATTATGTGCACAGCATTGCTTAAATTCTCTTTTGCAAGGTAGATCGATTCGCTCGTTTTTTAATTTTATAAACGGATATATGGTATAACTTAAAATTGCCTCATGATAGGTGAGCTATTTACGGCAGTAGATTTAAGCGTAATAGCCCGAACATTAGATCAAGCGGAACAAGCCGCTTTGCAAGAAGGCGCATTACCTGGACAAGTAATACCAAATCCTTCCATAAAAAGTCAGAATATGGACGACTCGGGATTTTTTTCCGTTCAGGTACATTATACTGCTTCATTACTTCATTAGAATTATCTCTACTCATAATAGAATATAATATTGTTGAGTGTAATTAATTAGGTGTTGAGTGAAGCTCTCAAAGTTTGGAATCTTGGTAATTAAGATATTATTATTTATTTATTTGTTTATTTAATTAATTAATGGATAAATAATAATGAATCAATAGTGCTTCCCATCAATATTATTAGAGATAATTCCTATTGGCTCAGAACAATGTGAAGGTGTACGTGGTCATCCAGAGTGAGTTTATATTCATTCTTTTTTGAAACCATTTTATATGATGAAATTTTTCTGATAATTTTTTCTCTACAGTGATGAAATAGCATATATTTGTAATCTACATGAACACTGGTAAAAATGAAAGTGACAAAAAAATCTTTTCCAAATTCATAACTGCAAATGTAATATTTTTTCTCAATTGCAAGGTTTTGCCTAAGAAAATTTGGTGGGACACCGACACGATGGTATAATCTAGATTCCCTTTTACGTGGTCCAGAATGGATTAGTCAAACATATCTAGGGATGTTGCTTAGTCAATTAGAAAATGATGGTATCTTCTTTGGTTTATTAATTCATTTGATTATTTATTTGTTTGGTTTATCAATTCTTATTGATTATTTATAAAAAAAAAAAGGTTATAATATTTTTGTGGTAAGAGGAACTTTACCAATATCTCAAGCTGATGAATACGCCGCCGAGCATCCGGAACCTTTAGGGCGAACCAAAGAAAAATCACATGATGACATTGATGCAGCCATGATCGAAGCAGCAATTGCTGCAAGTTTGGAAAATAATTCATCGTCATCATCACCTATATCAAATAACAATCAGCAAGATTCAGAGAAGTCCAATGAAACTTCGATAGATGAAATCCGAGCAAAGAGATTGGCGCGTTTTGGATGAAATAAAATACAAATCTTTGTAATACACGCGCGTGACGTAAATAGTAATGCTGCATTGATGCAGATGTTCATCGTGCATAACATTGAATAAAAATCACGGCGTCACTTGTGCTTAAACAATCGCTTTTTTCAATAATGTCATTATCACTGCCGTTACTCTCGAATATTACTACACCAGAAATTGCCAACGAAAGCAAACTTACTTATCCTACCAGCTTACCAAGACGTGGTCGAAAGAAACAAGAACAAACAAATATCAACAATGCAAACATTATCTGGAAACCACTTTTACCTAAGCCACCAGACCCGATTCCCATGACAAAGATACGTTTTATTAATTCACCCGAGCAACAACAAATCTCTCCAGCCACACCTGAAACACTTTCAACATTTACTTCTCATGAATCCCTTTGTAGAGTTGAACAAGACACAACAAAAGTGGATTTAATGCCAATGTTGCTACAAGCAGCGACTCACGCTGCCATTCGCGATAAACGCCAGGAGCGCAAAGTGAAGAACCGTGCAGCCGCTAATGCAAGTTTCTTGTTTATTTTTTTTTGGTAGACTTGTTGATAAATTACAATTTTCTTTAATATATAGTGAGTCAAATAAATCGAGTTTATTTTTGATATTATTCAAAAGGAATCGCGAAAGAGGAAAAGAGAAGCTACAGAAAGATTGTTGGCTGAGAATAAACAGTTAAAGTTGCGTATTTATGAATTGGAAGGTCAGATTATGGATTTGACAAACGAGCGAATTATTATTCTGAAGGAGAATGAACGTATGAAGAAAGAATTGGAGAAGAAGAATGTTGGTTTGGTTTTTATTTACTGTGATTTAAATTAAAATACATTATTCTGAATAAATAATTTTTCTGTAGACTTGAATCTTTCCATGAATTTGCGAGAATCACGCATAGTATTATTATGATTATTTATTTATTTATTATTTATTATTGTTATTTCGCAGAAAATATAATAAGATGAATTATTCAATTCATCATAATTCTATTAAATCACAAATGTTTCCATTGATCCATAAACCATATTATTATATGATATAGTATAAAGAAAACAAAACATCCGGTTTTATTATTATTATCTGGAAACATTCTTTCTGTAATCTTTCAATTCTTCTATACTCTCCTTGATATCGTTCAATGCTCTATGAACATTTTTCTTGACGGGTATATTTTCATACACGGATGGGTAATCACAATCCGATAATGACACCAATCAATAACCTCGGGATTTCTTTACTCGATCCTGTCCAACTGAATTCCCAGCAAGCGGAGCTTCTCGAATCTTGGAATATGATGTTTGATAAAATGGGCGGCTTTTTGCGTGGAAATGAGGAAAGTACCTTTGCGGTGAGACCACTCTTATTTAATTAATTAAAGAGCTAAATTAATACGAAGGTGTAAAAAATAACGTTGAGAATAAACACATACTTTTTCATGGTGTTCTTTACACTAGGATTCCATTGTTTGGTCTAAAAATTCCTTGGATTTATGAATTACTATATTAGGACCCTATTTTTGGAGAAATAATTTGTTGTATTTGTAATTTTGTGATTATTACAGCTACGATGCAATCCTGTCATCTATTTGATATTTATCCATATCGATATACGATAATTAATGATAAAAAACACCTCAGATGGGAGCTGTTTAGTTTTGGTGTATTATTAAAACAACGTGGATATTACATAAACCATGCATCAATAATGATTATCTCGCGTTGTGTGACAATAAGACACTAAAGTTTGGATAGATAGACAACATACACTAACGATTTTCGATTCATTACAAAAAAAATGTCGAACTTTGCGGAATGGGCGAGCGAAAAGTTATCCTCTTTTCATGAACTTGAACTTGATCGTGAAACTTTAGAGGCACAAATTATACCATATTTATTGTCTTTTGACGATAAATCTGATTTGGCTAAACATTTGCAAGTAAGAACAGAATTATCCTTTAAACGTTGGTTACGTTCTTCGAGTATCAGGTTAATTCTTTTTTAATTAAAGGAATTATTGGGTGTAAGCGGTGATAGAACAACTTTCATTGAAGAATTCATTGCCAAAAGATTTCCTCCTCAAAAGCAAATTACTGCTACATTCCCACAAACTCGTGTGCTTCAAACCCACCAGTTTCCTACACCTGTTACGCAAAGCCGTAACGCTCCCAGTTCCTCAACACGTGTAAATCGACAGGAAAATAGTCGAGTTAGTATTGATTTTCACTCATAATGCTTTTGATTTATACATTTTTTTGGTTTCACAGTTTTCATATATTATTGTTAGTCATCATCTCCTCAACCGAATAAAGATGATTCTCAAGAAGCGTGGAAAAAAGATAAGAATGTTTATATAAAAAAGAAAGATGAAGAAGATTATTTTGTTGGAAGGTACAATCGATATTTTTTCTTGATGAAATCACGTATGCTGCAGAATTTAAAGTAATTTTGATTCTGTGTATTTAGTAAAAAATCGAAACAAAGCAAAAATCTGCCACAGGTTAATAACGAAAATCCCACGACGACTGATTCGTCAGTCTCCAAACCCCCTCTTCCTCCTCCTAATCCTGATCAACAACAACAACATTTAAGCGCATGGAGTAATTCTTTACCATCGAGCAGGCCTACAACTCCAAATTCCGTTTCCCCGACATCACGTCCATCAACACCTATCACCACCATCACCACCACTACCTCTAGTAAAATAAAAGAATCAACTAAATCAACTAAAAAACTAATGGATCTAGAAAAGGCGATAAAAGATTTAGAAAATGATCAAAGAAATGAGACAAAAAGAGTTCCGTGCCATTGTCAAGGTACATATAATTTTATTATTAGTCATTATGTTTGTGATGACCTTCAATTTTTATTAAATAAAACAAAAATGCAGCGACAAAACATCCTCTTTTGGAAGTTGCACCCAATTGCCTGAGTTGTGGCAAGATAATTTGCACTTTTGAAGGAATTGGACCTTGCACTTTTTGTGGGAATCCTGTAATTTCACGTGAACAGCAATTAGAAATTGCTAGGGATGTAAAAAAGAATGCAACAAGCCAACAACAAAAATCTACGAAAAAGAAAAAAGTTGGTGGTGGTGGATCGATACCATATGCTGCCAAAGTATCTGGCAATTTTGCTGCTGCAACTGCGAATGGAGGAGGGTGGGTAGAATTGGGCTATAACGAAGAAGACGAAAAAATTCAAAATCAAATTCGTGAAGAAAGACGTCGAGCAGCGGAAATGCATAAAGAGAAACTGTTAGAATATGATCGAACAAGTGCAAAGAGGTCCACTATCATTGGTAAGACTTTAACTAATACAAGATCAAAGTTATGGCATATTTATTAAATAATTTTAATAATTAATTTGTATCGAGTAGATCAAGCTGCCGATTTCACACTTCCTGCTGATCGTCCGAATCAATGGTTAAACGAACAGGAACAGACAGAATTACAAAAAAAGCAAAAATCTAATTTACGCAAAATCCAAAAGAAATCCTATGGAAAACGCAAAGTGTATTCACTTAAAGAGGTTAGTGGACGACATGTATTGGTAGAGGAAGTGGACGACGATGATGATGACGACTCGGAAGATAATGAGAATATTAATACACATAGAAATATTGAAGGTTCCAAATTAAATAATATCAATAATAAAACTCTCGGTCAAAATGGATCAAATGAAATGAAACACAGAAAACCACCAAAGCTGGAATATACACCTGAATTTATAAACTTAAAATCCAAATCATCCAAAAATAAAAAAGGTTCGACTGCTCAAGAGCATGATGAGAAAGCGGAAAAATCGTAAGTACTATGACTAGCATCGTTAGTAGATATTATTAGTAATGTATTTTCTCTTTTATTTTCACAGGAATACGAAAAAGACTACCCGCGTGCAAGATATCGATGAATATTTTAAAGACGCGACAATATTTTCTGGTAGAACAGATGAAAATTTGGTTGATGACGCGGAGCCTGAGTGTGGATGATATTTATTTAACGTAATTTGTTTTTAAACTGTATTTCAGTTATGCTTAGGCATCAAATTGTACAGTTAGATCTTATCTATGAATCTTAAGATGATATTGTAGAATAATTAACAAGAGTTTAATGTATCAATAAATAAGTAAATAGTCGGAATAGATAAATAAAATTATGTCTACATACTCTTGTTTATTTTATTTGAGAAATTTCATTCTAGCACTATATATAGTGCTAAAAAGTCATAAACTCACAAATTGGTAATCTATAGGTATCCAATGTCCAATAACGACCCTTGACTCCGTTCCAAATTTCATCGGCAGAAGGATCGATTTTAATCTCTATGAATTTTGTTTTCAATCCCACATCCGCCAAATGCATCTCAACAATCTGACAATACACGTCATGAAAAAAAGGATTAGTCGCTCCTATTTCAATAATAATAATAATAATAATAATAATAATAATAATAATAATAATAATAATAATAATAATAATAATATAATAATAATAATAATAATAATAATAATAATAATAATAATAATAATAATAATAATAATAATAATAATAATAATAATTTTTTCAGTTAAATAAAATAACTCGATTCTGCGAAATTCAAAACTTAATCACTAATTTAATTTGATCCACCTAATCCATTAAAGAACGAGTAAATTCCTTCGCTTTTCAGAAAATTCGGCACCTCTTCATGAAATTCTCGCAAATCTTGATAAAATTCTCCAAAAGTATCAAAAAAAATACCATCATAGGTGTCCAACTGATCCAACACATCTTGCCAACGGCCAAATATAATCTTCACGCCTGGTTTAAGATGCCATCCTTCTGCCATCATGTGTTTATACACGTCAGGATGAGCTTCAATTATAGTGTGAGTATGCGGCTTATATTTTTGTATCTCGGTATCTATTAATCCTAGTCCAAAACCGATATTAAGAATACCGAGATTTTCACGCGGGCAAATTATTTGAGCATGTTTCTCCATGAGTGGTTTTTCCCATCCCATCATCACTCCATTGTTTTCATAGTCGAGCAACCGCGTGCCATCTTCAGAGTATTTAAGTGGACGCGTGAGAAAGTCCTCATTTGATGGTTTACCATCATTATTTTTTTCCTCTTCTTGATTTTTTCCTCCGAGTACTCCTTTTTTTGTGATCACATGTATTTTTATTTGATGTAATAATGTAATCTAATGTTAATAAGGAAATCATCAGAATACTATAAAATCAAGCCATATACCAAGAATTAGTTCGACCCTACAGCCTTCCTCTAATAACCTTTGATAGATTTCATTATATCCGTTTTCTTTAGCATATTCCGCAGCAGTTTTCCCATTAACATCTATTGCATTCCAAGGATGACCATGTTCGAGTAATAACGAGACTATCTCAGATTGACCCTTGGAGCAAGCAACGTGTAATGGACTAATACCCTACCATATATTGTATCATAAAAGTTAAAGAATATTTTGGGGAGAACCCTGTATAATCTATTTTCCTCACATTTTCATCACTATAGAACACGTTTTCATCTTGTTCTATTATTTTCTTTATAGTTTGCACATCTCCACTAGATATTGCGTTAATAAACATTTCATTATTCGACATATCTATTAATGTTACTGTTAGCTTACAAAATTTTCTCGTTAATCTATGATGAACGTGATCCTAAGAGATCGAAAATCGATAATCTATATACAGGATTTAAGCAGATTGATCAATAGTTTTAGTTACATTATTTACTTGATTGTTTTTATTATTAGATTATAAGTGGTTTTATACATATTATTTTTGATATCCATATTATATTTTCGTTTACATTAAGAAATGCAACCGCTAATTTTCATGCTTTACCGAATAGAAGTGAGACGATCAGCAAATTGCGGATAGTTTCTTGCGAAATGTAGATGAGATTTTGCAGCCTAAAAAATCGATATTATGATTAATTGGAAAAGATAGTTAATTCTTTTGGTTTTCGAAGAAATGTTTCTCTTGTTGACCTTACAAACCTCTGCAAACTGAAGATGTGCTACTATTTCAGTTTCAGTTCGGGAAACCTCAACACATTTCTCAATGTATGTTAATGCAGACTCTGTTTTGCCCTGTTGTATAAGAATTTGGCTCATAGCTGGATTTGCTACATCGCTATCAGGATCGACTAGATTACAAACGTACAATAAAAGCATTGATAATAAAAAAATGGTGTAATTCACCGTACAATGATTACATTATCAATTTTTACCTTCCAACGCTTTTCTACAGAGCTCTTCAGCTTGTGCGGGATCTTGTCTTTGGAATGCTGCCAATGCCTTATTGACATAAGGCAAAGGATTGCCTTTCTGCAATTCTATCGCAATATCAAACTGCTCCATTGCTTCATCGAACCGCTGCAAATCGAGTAGCAATTCACCATAATAATTATGCATATCGGCAGATTTACTAAATCTTTGTAAACTTTCTTTGAATATATCAATTCCCGCCTCTGGTGGTCCTAATTTGTATTTTGCAATGGCAAGTTGGATATATCCAAAGACGAAATAGCCATCAAGTTCGATACTTTTTCGGTAATCTTCACTAGCTTTTTGAAGTTCTCCGGTAATGAAGTACACTATTATAAAAATATATTATTCGACGCAATATATTAAATTGCTATTTCCACAAAAACAAACAAGAAATCCTGTGCATTGCAAGTATCACTCGGTCAAAAATAATTGCTTGCCTTGTCCCCTAAAAGAGTGAGGATAAATCAATTATTGTTTAATTATTGTATTACAAATGATACAATTTATTAAGTTAAAACTCACCTATGATAATATACATCGGGATCATTTGGATTAATTTTAATAGCCTCATCGAATTCACGCCACGCCTCTGAGATATTTCCTAAATAAAATTACAATAGATTATTGAGAAACTATTAATCAATAAATTACTTATGCTATCTTCCATTATGTGTAAGTAGAATAACCTCTTTCCATGTAAATGCTGGCTCTTTTGATATAGGGCCTAATAAAATCTGGCTTCAATTCGATAGCTTTTGAGAAATCATTTAAGGCACGCTCAGTATCGCCTTCTAAATAGATAAAAGTACCACGCATATCGATCGCCTGAGCCAAATTAGTGCATTTAAGTTCGACTGCTTTTTCTAATGCTTTCAACGCTTCTGGGTAGTCACATTCTTGAATCTTTTGACACGCTCTCCTATAATATAAATCTCCATTTTCCTCAGAATTCAAAACATTCTGGCTATCATTCTCAGCATTGATTCCAGTGTTTTCGTCATCTCGGTCAGAAGATTCTTCTTGCAATGCTTGCAATGTTTCTGTTTTATCATATAATAACTTTAAATGATCGCGCTATAAAATACACACATATAACATATATATATATGAAGAAAGAATTATTTACCGTTGCGATAAGAATCTAGATAAGCTTTTATAAATCTTGGGGATGGTAGCCGCTTTTTTCGATCCTGATTCCAGAATTTCACATGGGAATTAAATGAATTTGAAATTTGAAACAAAAATTTAGTGCAAGTTACCCGCATTAGCTCGCGGCCCTTTATTTCGGCGATCATCTTGAGAGCGCGATCCATAGAAGCTACTGTTGTTTCATTGCTGAAATTATCGAGGATACATGATGCTGTGTAGTCTAATAATGAAAGTTGGAATATATTTAATATAAACAAAAAGAAGTAACCGATATTTCGATGTAAATAATTAATTTATACCATATAATGCTTCTTGAAATTGATCAGTTTGTTCATATGCGGCTGCACGACGATTTAGAGCCTTAACATAAGAAGGATCCAATGACAGTGCTTTACTGCAATCCTCTATTGTTTTATGATATTGCTCAGTATTGAAGTAACATGCAGCTCGATTACCGTAAAATACGGAATTGGGGTGAAATGCAATGGCCTGAGTATATAGTTTAGCAGCCCTGTCATAATTTCTTTGGCGATAAGCATCATTTCCTCGGTCTTTTAGTACCTGCCCTGCTTTACTCCGTTGCTAAACAGAATTTTGAGAGTTAGTAGGGTAATTATTCAAATATTAATATTATAAAGTAAAATAATACAACCTCTTGTGGCATTTCCTCGATTTCCGCTTGTGAGAGAATTTCATACTGGATTTCCTCTTCAATGGCTTTACCTCGAATTCCTTTTGCTGCAAGATAGGAGGACTGTACGGTTAAGTTCTGATAGGTTGATAAAACTTGAAGACTAGTGGAGTCACAAGGAATTCAAGAAGTTCACTTCAAAAATAATAAATTGAAACCAGATGTTGTTCCAGTATGTGATGTTTCAGCAGAGGAGGCGGCTGTTCTAGTAGTTCCTTTTTGCGATTTGCCTTTCTTTTTCTTGCTCGATTTAGGACGAGGTGACTTTGAAGCGGTATAGTAATAAAGGCCAACCCCGGAAATAGCTAGAGCACCAGTTAAGGCCACGTAGAATTTAAGATCTCTGTTCACAAAGAATTCCTTAACAGATTGTAACAGACTAAGTTCTTTATTTTCAACAATTGTTTGATTAGACACATTAGGAGTAGACAAAGTAGAAAGATTTGACATGATGGAAAATGATGGGGAGAAGAACCAAAAAATTTGCACTTTAACTTATCACGTCATTGTCTGTCATTGTCTGTCATTGTCACACATACCGTAATGTACGCAAACAACGCGCGTTAATAATTATCCCGACGACAAAAATCAACCTTTTAAGCATATTCAAGTTGGCTGCCAACGATGAATTGCTTCTAAAAACAAACAGCTCGGAACCACTTTGTTTTCATTGTTCTTGCAGACTCGAAATACTTGAAACGTTGGTGGGTCGACGCACTTTTTTTTAAGAACCAGTATAAATTGACTTCCACCTTGCCTTTCAGATCCAGCGTCAGGACAGTTCCAGTTTGCGAGATTTGTTGCTGGATCAATGGGATATCCATTTCGCCCTAAAAAAGTAAGGACATATATGAAGGGTTACTGGTATTTAAATTGCGTTGAACAAATCTCTGCAAGTTCTTTCTATGGACGATAATAAGATTTTTGCATTGACAGACTATCAAGCATTAAAAATATCTTGCATTTTAATTCTTTGTTTGAAAATAAACTTTCGGAAAGTAAAGAATGATGATGGATTCTCTACACATTGAGCTTTTTGCTGTGTGATAAGGGCAATGACATTTATTAGCTGTTATTTTGGGGTCCACTAAAGCGGGGTAGTATCATGTGACATGTGATTCGATCCGGATCGTATCATGTGATTTTAAAATTATTTGAAAATTCATGATTGATCGAATCAAATCATATAAACTATAACGCATTATTTAATTAAAGAATATTTAATTGTTAGCGAATTGCTTAATTAAGAGCCTAATCATTATTATTTAAAGAATATTTAATTGTTAAGCATGTTAAAAAATATATTGTTAATAATATGTAATAATGAAGAGTTTCTTTACTTTCAGTATCAATAATTATATAAAAATGTTATATTTATTTTCAAAAATTCCTTAATTAATGAATCTTTCAAAAATAGTAGAAAATATGAAAATTTCTAAAAACAACAAATCAATAAAAATAGTTTACATATATTAGTTATTTAGTAATTATATAATATTATTATTTATTATTTTTAATTTAATAATTTTTACCTTTTCTATCTTTTTTATTATTATCTTTTTTATTATTAAAATATATTAAGAAATTTTGTATAAATAGGAATGCTATCTTAACACACACTCTCATATTTTAAACAAATTAATAATTTTTAATTTTTAATATAATAAATTAATAATTACTTTGTTGTTATTTATCCTTGTATCTTCTTCTGTCGAATCAAGTTATTTGGCAAAAATAATTTGTAAATTGAACTTCAAATCTTGTAATTCAAGTCATTTTTCATAAATCTTGAATGAGATCAAGAAACTGAATATTAATTTGTATAGAATTAAATTTTTGATTATTATATTTTTGTCTTTAAATTTGAAAAAAATAATTAAAGTATTTTTTTTAAATAAGCATATTGATTTGTTATAGCATTATTCTTATAGCATTATTCTTATATAATTATGCACTATAATTTTAAATAAGTAATATTAAATTATATAATTGTGTATTGCAACTTTAAATAAGTAATATTGAATTATATAGTTGTGCACTGTAACTTTAAATAAGTGATATTTCTTTTAGTAATTTATTTTCTTCAGTATTGTCACCATTTGATATTTTAATTACATGTAAAATATCATGTGACATAATTTTGATAATTATTTATACTTCTTTTTATATTTTTCTATTTATAATTTTATTTAATTTATTTAATTTACATATAATTTATCAAAAATACCAATCAATTCTTTTTAATATTACTTAATTTATTTTATTATAATATTATTGGATCTAAATT